GGATATGTTTTTCAAGGAGAGAAAAGTATCCTAAGAGTCATGAAGGGGTCAAAGGAAGTCTTGAGAGGCGTGAAGAAACAAGGCTTGTATACCCTTGAGGATGAGGTTGTAAGTGGCTTAACAAATGTTGCATCCACAAAATCTATGTCGAAGGCAGAATTATGGCACATGAGATTGGGCCATGTCAGCGAAAGAGGCCTGGTCGAATTGGGGAAGCAGAACCTGCTAGGAGGTGACAAAGTCGAAAAGTTGAAATTTTGTGAATCTTGTGTATTTGGTAAATCCTGTAGGGCGAAGTTTAACAAAGGCAAGCAAATAACACATGGATCCCTGGATTACGTTCATGCTGATCTTTGGGGGCCTGCAAGGAATCCTTCACACTCAGGTGCAAGGTATTTTCTATCCATCGTTGATGACTATTCTAGAAAGATATGAGTATTCATTCAGAAGACGAAGGATGAAACTTTTGAGAATTTCAAAAGTTGGAAGATTCTAGTCGAAACTCAGACTGGCAGAAAGGTTAAGAGGTTGAGAACCGACAATGGCCTTGAATTCTGCAACGAAGCTTTCGACAGTTACTGTGTTGGGTCTAGGATTGCAAGGCATAAGACTGTAGCAGGTACTCCTCGACAAAATGGCTTAGCTGAGAGATTCAATCGAACAATCCTTGAAAGGGTTAGATGCATGTTGGTTAATGCTGGATTGAAGAAGGTGTTTTGGGTGGAAACTGTTTCGACAGCAGCTTACCTGATAAATAGATGTCCCTCGACTGCCTTGGGAATGAAGACACCTGAAGAAGTTTGGTCGGGACATCCACCTAGTCTCGACAAACTGAGAGTATTTGGTTGTGTGGCCTATGCTCATATTAGGCAAGACAAGGTCGAACCTAGAGCTCTGAAGTGCATGTTCATGGGATACCCTGAAGGAGTCAAAGCTTATAGGCTATGGTGCCTAGAGCCAGGTCACAGAAGGTGTATCACCAGTCGAGATGTAGTTTTCAATGAAGCAGAGATGGCTTTCAAGAAAACTGATGATGCTGACAAAGAGCTGGAACAGGGAGAGATTCCTGTTGAGGTGGAGCATGTTGATGCTGAATTGCTTACCCCAGATGAAGTCGAAGAAGATGCTGTCGAAGATGAGGAGATTGATAATGACTACCTGCTAGCAAAAGACAGGTCGAGGAGAGTCATCAAGACACCTCAGAGACTTGGGTATGCAGATCTTATAGCTTATGCCTTAATCTCTGCTAGTGAGGTTCTAGATGAAGAACCTAGAGACTATAAGGAAGTTATGAGGAGTCGAAAGAAGACTATATGGCTGAAGGCCATGGATGATGAGATGAAATCTCTTCATGATAACAACACCTGGGAACTGATCAAGAAACCTGCTGGAGCCAGGTTAGTCAGCTGTAAATGGATTTTCAAAGTTAAGGAAGGAATCGAAGGAGTGACGTCGAAGAGATACAAGGCAAGATTGGTTGCTAGGGGGTTCACTCAGAAAGAAGGTATCGACTTCAATGATGTGTTCTCTCCTGTTGTGAAGCACAAATCCATTCGAATGTTGCTTGCCACAATGACCAGTTTGACCTTGAACTGGAACAGATGGATGTGAAGACTGCGTTCTTGTATGGTAATCTAGATGAAACAATCCTGATGAGGCAACCTGAAGGGTATGTCAAAAGGGGGAAGGAAGATTATATGTGCAAACTGAATAGATCTTTATATGGACTGAAACAATCTCCTCGACAGTGGAATAGGACATTCGACAAGTTCATGGCACACATAAGATTCATCAGAAGCCAGTTCGACCACTGTGTTTACTTCAGATTTCGACTGGGAAATTCATTTGTTATTTTGTTGCTCTATGTGGATGATATTCTAATAGCAAGCAACAATGTCGAAGAGGTAATGAGGGTGAAGGCTGAACTCAATAAAGAGTTCGAAATGAAGGATCTGGGAGCTGCGTCCAGGATTCTTGGGATTGACATCCGGAGAGATAGAAAGCATTTGAAATTATGCTTATCTCAAGAGGCATACCTACAGAAGGTTCTCGAAAAGTTTGGTATGTCGAATTCAAAGCCTGTTGTGACTCCGATAAACCCTCAATTCAAGCTGAGTATAGATCAGTGTCCCAGCACTGATGTTGAAAGAACTTATATGAATAGCATTCCATATGTTAACATAGTAGGTTCTTTGATGTATGCTATGGTCTGTACTAGACCCGACATAGCATATGCAGTAAGTCTTGTAAGCAGGTACATGGCGAATCCTGGAAAGGCTCACTGGCAAGCATTGAAGTGGATTTTAAGGTACATAAATGGGTCTCTGAATAGAATCCTAATTTATGGTGGAGCCTTGGGTGAAGATAGTAAAGCAGCAATCGATGGATATGTCGACTCTGATTATGCAGGTTGTATGGATTCCAGAAAATCTATCTCTGGATATGTGTTCACTATGTTTGGGACAACAATCAGTTGGAAAGCAACACTTCAGAAGGTCGTAGCCCTAACTGAAGTTGTGAAGGAAGCATTGTGGCTTGAAGGTTTTGCAAAGGAGCTAAAACTTCAAGGTCGAGTTATCACTGTTAAATGTGATAGTCAAAGTGCAATACACCTGTCGAAGAATTCAGCCTATCATGAGCGAACCAAGCACATTGATGTGAGGCTACATTTCATCAAAGGGGTAATCGAGCGTGGAGAAGTCCAAGTTCTGAAGGTTTCGACAGATCATAATGCTGCTGATATGATCACCAAGACGTTGCCCAGTTGCAAGTTTTTCCACTGTATGCAGTTAATAAAGCTGCATGAAGAAAGCTAGTTTGTTGATGTTATAGAGTTAGATCAAAGGTGGAGATTTGTGAGATATTGGATCGAACTCTAGTATAGTCGAAGTCTGTTCGCGAGTAATGCGTGTTGTAGTTGAAGTTTGTTCTAACATGCATTAGTAAATATTGTTAGGGTTGTTAGCATGTTGAATTGGGTCTTGCTTGTAAGCCCAATTGTTTAAGTTAGCTTGTACCCTAAGTTAGCTTGTAATGGGTAATTGTTAAAAAGCCCATTAGGTTAGTGTGTTATTTTATTATAAATAGGATGCTAGTTTCTCAATCTTGGAAATAAGGAAAAATAGGAAGATAAAATCCTAATTTCAAGGGAGAGAGGTTATTTTGTTATTCTTATATACTTGTAATCTTGTTCTAAGAGAAAGGAAAGAATAGCAGTTTAATAACCAATCCTTGTTGTTCATTGTTGTTTTCTTCTTTATTAACCCTAACCCTTATGTATTTCTTGATCACAAAGAAACCGTTTATACTTTGTTTAAAAGTATCCGATTCACAACATAGTATTATCCAAAATTAAAATTTTTTAATTAACTTATAATTTTTTTTAATAAAATTTTAAATTGTTTAGGAAAAAAAAGTTTTTTTGAAAAAAAAATTAGTTTTTTTAAAAAACAAATGATGACTTCTAAAGTGAGGGTTAAATTAAATCCCTCATTAGTGGAACATTATAAAAACACCGTTTGATATAATTGACTGAGTTAGATTTATTTTTGAAAATTAAAAAATAATTGTATCTATTCACACACAATTTCACTCTATCTCTTCTTTAATCATCTCTCCAACTCATCTACTAAAAATATTTACAGCTAATAACCATAAAAATGTGACAAAAATAATGTTTGCAAACACTTAATTGAAAAAGGGCATTGGTCGATGATGTTAACTATGTATATGTGTTAATATGAAAAGGCGTTGAAAAGGAAAAACTTAATTTATTAAAGAAAGTATCGCATACATGTCTTCTTTCTCTTTCCTTTGTAGTTCGGACGAGTAATTGATAGAAAATTTGTAAAGTCGGTGCAAGAATTAAAAGGAATTAAGAATTATTTCTAAAATTATAAATATATCATATATCACAATTTTTTTTATTTCTATTACTTTATGTTGTTATGATTAAAATAATAGTTTATTGTAACCATTTTCTTTAACTTCTCTCCTTCCTACAAAGAGAACTATCATGAACACAACTCCTCATCTCTCTTTCCGTATATATTGTGCATTGCAAATGATTTAGTTTTTTTTTTTTTTCCGGTGAATAGGTGAATATCTATGAGTTGGAGAAATAATTTAGTTTTGTTTTCAGTAAATATCTGTGTCTGAGAAATAGATGAAGAAGAGGCATTGAGAAATTGTTTGTGGAAAGATACATTTGTTTTCTGATTTATAAAATTAAATCTATTTTATTAATTAGATTTAATGATATTTTTTTAACAGGATTTAATTGAACCTTCACCTTAGAAGCCACCACAAAATATTTTAATTTATTGGAAAAAATAAACTTTTTGAATAAATAAATAATTTTTTTTTTAAAATAAATAATTTTTGTGAAAATTTTGAAAAAAAATTAGTTTTTGAAAAATAAATTAAATTTTTCAAAAAGAAATTAAATTTTTTAAAAACTAATTAAATTTTTTAGAAAATAAATTAATAACCGATTATATAACTAAAACCAAATTTATAACGGGTTTTATAATCAAATGTGATTATAGTTATAAATTCAAACTATTTAAATGGTTTAAAAGTAATTATAATTTGGTTTCTAAAAATAATCAACGATACACCATTCTTACTAGGAGGACCACAATTTGATCCCAACAAGTACAATCGACAGGGACTGGATCAATTTAATAGTAGAACTGATCGAATTAGTCGCCTCAGTGCCTGGTGTTGAAAAAAAATCAGATCACTTGTTATATTATTCTAATTGTATGTATTTTCCATATATTATAAATAGGACTCTAACTTCCTTAAGTGACTCAAGGTCAACCACTTATAATTAGTTACACTCCTAGTTTTTCATTTTGAAAATCTTTTTCCAAGCCATGATTAGTTACAGTCCTAGTTTCCTCTCGTTACTCCCTCAGTCCTTTTGGCCACTTTTCTTTGTTATGTCTTTTGTCTTTATGATTATTAAATCTCTAACATATCATCACTTGATGAATATGAAGCCAAAAATACCAAAATTGCCACCCGGTCCTAAACCATGGCCTATTGTTGGCAATCTTCCTGAAATGCTTGCAAGCAAATCTCCGACTAAGTGGATACACAAAACTATGGAAGAATTCAACACTGATATAGCATGTATTCGCCTAGGCAATGTTCATGTTATCCCTGTTAACTGTCCCACCATTGCTCGTGAATTCTTGAAAAAACATGATGTTGAATTTGCATCAAGACCAATAACCATGGCAACTGACATTATCTCCGATGGACAGTTAACGACAATTCTTGTACCCTATGGGGAACAATGGAAAAAGATGAAGAAAATAATCGTTAAAGAATTGCTCTCTCCATTCAGACATCAATGGCTTCAAGACAAAAGAATCGAAGAAGCCGATAATCTTATGTTTTATGTCTACAAAAAATGCAACAACAGTGAACTTGTGAATGTTAGGATTGCAACACGACATTATTGTGGTAATGTTTTTAGAAAACTATTTTTTAGTACACGATACTTTGGAAAGGGTATGAAGGATGGAGGGCCTGGTGTTGAAGAAATAGAACATGTTGATGCTGCTTTCGAATTGCTTAACCATATTTATGCTTTCTCTGCATCTGATTACATCCCATGGTTGAGATTGTTTGATTTTGATGGACATAAGGGCAAGGTCAATAATGCAATTAAGATAATAAACAAGTATCATGATTCTCTCATTCAACAGAGAATCACACAATGGAAAGGTGGATCAAAGAATGTTGAAGAAGATTTGCTAGATGTTTTGATGTCATTAAAAGATGTCAAGAATAATCCTTTATTGACGATGAAGGAAATCAAAGCTCAAATTATTGTAAGATTTCATTCACATTTTTCTATCTATTTCGTACCTTTACCAACACTTTTGTATTACTTTCTTTTTACTGACAGTCTAGTATATTCAAACTTAAACTAATATTAGTATTATCATTAAACTTCTATTTATGATTAACAAGGGGATAACGAGTTGATAATGGAATTGAATTCTTATTATTTTGAAAATTGAAAAAAAAAATATTGTTTTTCATTTTGACGTGTGAATGGAAGAGGAAAATTATTATACAATAGTATTATCTTCTCTATTATAATATTGCCTAGACTGTGAATAGTCAAGACCAATTATTTAATAATAGTTATATAGAGATTTAAAGGTCGAAAATCAATTATTGTTCAACAAGACTAAAATCTAATAGGACTCCCATCAATAGTACGAAATTGAGTTTTCTTTAAAAAAAGTTCTTCCCATAGTCCTAACCTAAGTTAACTCAAAAGAAGAAAAGGTAGTTTTTCTTTAGTGGTAGATATATGCTACACGTTTGCACTTTTGCAGATATTTAACAATTAAGTGAGATTCAATTGGTTCGTTGCACGTCAAAATTATTAAGTTTTCCATAACCGTTTTTGCCATGATTTAAATGTTGTTGATTTTATTCTAAATTAATATGATATTTCGATGAATGGAATAAACTTATTTGAATACTATATATATATATATATATATATATATATATATATATATATATATATATATATATATATATATATATATATATATATATATATATATATATTATTAATTATTAAATCAATCAATTTAAGAATTGTAAAGTTACATATTTATAAAAAATTTACAAAAATTTTGTTGAAAAGCTCAAATTTACAGATTTTTCTATTAAATATAATATATTGAAAATCTTGTACATATTATAAAAATTTTGTGTTGTTTATTATTCTTTATATGTTCACATGTAAAATATCATAATTTTTTTGGAGCAATTCTTGAAAAAAAACTAAATTTATACTATTGTTATTATACCAATTTTTACTATTATTAGAGTTTGTTTTATTATAATAGTTTTCTCTTGATTTATGATCTATTTGAGGTGTCATTGTGAATTATAGAAGTAAGAAATGATGATGGAGTCTATTTGTAAGAATGAATGTGATGTTTAAAAAAATTAGCTATAATTTATTTTCAATCTGTTATGACTAATTATATAATTGTATATAAGAAGAAATTGTTTCTAATATTATATACTTCTTTTATGAAAATGTAAAATAGGGATCTAATATTATATACTCTTTTTATGAAATTCTTTCTAATATATATTATGTACATGTGATTTGATACTTATATCAAATATGATTAGAGTATCTTATCGGTTTAGAATTTTTTAGTGAAATAATTTTTTTTAAAGTACATTGTTATATTTCTTAGACTATTATTTTAAAATTTACAATAAATAAGAAATTCTCTTTAAATACATGTAATAATTTTATATTTAATTTCTGCAATCCAATAATTTATTTTAAAATTCTATTTAAAATGGATTGCAATTCTCTTTGTATTATGTAATTCACGAATATACCCTATCGGTACGAAGTTATTAGATATGATCAGTATGTGATAGAAAAAATATTTGAGTATTTGTTTACATATTTTAAAAAATTTAGATTAATAATTCTGTTGTGAATAGGATATTCTTTCCTTTCTCTTAGAACAAGATTACAAGTATACAAGAATAACAAAATAACCTCTCTCCCTTGAAATTAGGATTTTATCTTCCTATTTTTCCTTATCTCAAAATTGAGAAACTAGCATCCTATTTATAATAAAATAGCACACTAAACTAATGGGCTTTTTAACAATTACCCATTACAAACTAACTTAGGGTACAACCTAACTTAAACAATTGGGCTTACAAGCAAGACCCAATTCAACATACTAACAACCCTAGCAATATTTACTCATGCTAACAACCTTAGCAATATTTAATCATGCTAACAACCTTAGCAATATTTACTCATGCTAACAACCTTAGCAATATTTACTAATGCTAACAACCTTAGCAATATTTACTAATGCATGTTAGAACATACTTCGACTACAACACGCATTACTTACGAACAGACTTCGACCGTATTAGAGTTTGATCCAACATCTCACAAATTCAACTATTTTTCTCTAGCAAATGTGAAAATCTAACATGTCAATTATACATAAATGATAATCAAATATTATTTCTTTAATATAATATTATTTTATGGAGATTTATAGTGAGATTATTATAGTCTTATGATATTGATTGGAATTTACGACTACTTGTGTTATATTTTTAAGTCTCATATTTTTTTCTGCGTATAACATATAATTTTTCTCAAATGCATGAAGTTATTATTGTAACATTTGAGTTTTGGTTGAGTTATTAAGATGTTGTATATAATCTTATATTCTATATAAAATTATATGAATTTGATCTTACTTTAAATGATCATAAATGTTTTATATAACCATGATACTCTTTTCATGTAAAATTATTTAAATAATGACATATTTTATTTATGTGCAAAATGTGTGGTTGGGTTTGTAAAACTCTAATGATGTTATATTATAAAATCACTTTTCAACATAGTTTTTACTAAAAATAAAATAAGTACTCTATTGTATGATTAGAGTAATTAATACCATTGAACTCTAATAAATCTTTATTCTATTGAATCACTGGGAGTGGATGTGTACATAATTATGTAATCTATATTTTATTATTATTATTCTCATATTGTCATATATTTTTGTGTGCATTATAAATATGACATATTTTAAGATTACTTTAAAATGTATAATAACTCTAAGAGGTCTTATTCTATTATACTGAGATATATATTATTATCTTAATCTTAGAAAATATAATAATTTGATATTTAGGTCGATATTGAAAAGACATATTAATTTTTTAATATGCAATAATATTGTGTTATTCTATCTTCAATAATCCATATTTGTTAGGTCATAATATGAAAGTACAAGTAAATATTAATATTCATTTCGAGTATGATATTTTGTTATGAACGTATTTATGATTAAATTTAATTACTCTCGTAATAGGATATTCTATATGTAATTACTATTCTTAAACCTATGTGGATATTCTATAACCTTTAATTTAAAAATTCATTAGTAAAATCACTAACCACATACTTATACACATGAGTAAGTCTTATAATATTTTGGGTAAATCTGAGTTTATCATTAGCATATTCATATGCTTGGACCATTCTTTAATAACATATTTCTCTTAACTTAAATATGTTACTCTAAATTCATCAGTCTTCATATGAAATGTGAGTTTTTTAACGTGTATGATTTGTTTTTCTTATCGGATACAAATTTTGCAATGTTGAAGCCTATTTTTCTTTTGATTGGTTAATATTTTGACCATTATTAATATTCTAAAATTAAAATTAATATAACTGATCATTATCACCAAGTGAGAGATTATTAGATTAATTATTTAATTAATCAAATGGATGACATAATCAATTATTAATTAATTATATTATGATCAATTATTATCAAACACTAATTATTAATGAATTGTTTGATTGAGTTTTGTGTCTGAATGGACCGTGATGGCTTATACCATTTAGTTAAGCCCAATGAGAGGTCATTGCCCTTAGCCGTTTAGCTATTTAAGTGTCACCCCATTAGAAAATTAACATACTCTGAAAACCCTAAATGACAATGAGGATAATATTCTTTCATACTCACTCTTCTGATGGCCGTCTCTCAAATCCTACAAGGTGCACCATTATTATCATTGTTGATTATTCTTTAAAATATAATATGCTATAATTTGTGTCTATTTGATTTAATTAGATCTATCAAAGATCCATTGTCCTTCTGCTTTTTCAGACAAGGGGTGACAGTTGGAAATATATTTGAGTTTTATTACTGTAAAATATACAATTTCATACATACTATTACATTTGCTAAATGAGGATCTGATATGATAACTATAAGTGGTTATATTTTTGAAATTTAATCAATTTTTTAAGGATTTCTTATTAGTAGGTTTATCAAATTAAAGGGAAATGTTTTATAGAAACACTTTATTTCGCGATCTAAAATTCACGAGTGTTTCTAGCTTTCACTTTCTAAATTCAAAGGTCCTCAGAATTTTTGTGGCTATTGTGTAGCATTATTTTCGTGAGAACCTCAAATAGGGGCGGCTTCGAGGTCCTACCCAAAGTAACGTCACTCGAACCTAACATTCTCATAGAGCATGAGGGCTCACCATTGGGACAAATGACGTGTATAATATTGTTATCTTCTATCAGTTATATAAGAAGGAGTCATACCTTGACCTCTCGTGAAAATAGGTAGTTAACAATTGCCTTTATGTCCAAAATACCCATATATATACTTCTCCCCGAAAAGGAGATGGAAAGATCATAACTTACACACAACACCCAAAGCTACACGCTTATATACAAAGTTTCTCAACTTACGTGAGCAGGACCTCTAAAACGACCATAAACATTGTGTCATACATGGCTTCTCGCTACTGTGGGAAAGCCCTAACATAAACAAATTGTTATAAACCTACTAAGGTCTCGAAGCACCCTTTCCCATATAAATGTAACATGCACACGTGTAATTTTTAACCACTACCTTGGTGCATGTTGATGCAGTAAAGCAACAAGCAAAAAAAATATTAAGTACCCAGTTTTGTCGTCTCCACAGGGATTAGTGCGATATGAACGCCGTTCAACGGCCTCTACATTTCTAAGCTTATTGTTCAAAAGGTTTGGTTTAAAAGGTTCAAAGAACCAAAAAATAGAAAATATAAAATAAAGACTGAAATATAAATGGAGCCTTGTTGGGATTGGATCTCATCAATTGATAACATATGCATTCTTCTGATCAAATTAAACACAACGTAATCATTCATTTAATATCATCACGTATCACTCACGACAAAGCTTATCTCTAACGCGACGTCGAGAGAAAAACCATGTTGTCTCATTGGTGATCTCTCACCCAACAAGAACACAACACAGAGCATTAAGATCTGATACTCACGCAAATGCTAAGCCTAAACCTATCTCTAGAATTTAGGACCTAACAGGCAATCA